GGCAGAGGCAAGCACATCTCAAAGAGTTCAAGACCAGCCTGGACTACATAGCAAATTCTAGGCTGCCAGGGCTGCATAGTTTTGTGTCTCAAAAAACAAAACAAACAAAAGTGTGGATGTGTATGTTTGCATGTGCATGTTTGTCTGTCTGTCTGCCCTACTGAGCACCCTTACTAATGTATCTTGTTAGAAAGGTAGTTTGGCTAGAGATGGCTTTTTTCCTGTAGTTTCCAGATACTCTAAATTGTGGTCATGCGGCTATATAACCAAATAAACATATTTCAGATATAAAAAGAAGAATTCCTGCCATTTATTTCTTCTTTGGGTCTGAACTCGAAGACACAGCTTTGCAGGACTGTCCTGAGCTTCCGGAGGGAGTCCCTGGCTGTTTTCTGCATGCCCAAGGCAGTCTGCTCACGCTGTTCTTTTCAGTGAGCTTGCTTCTCAGCCACACTAACTCCTGTCACTGAAACTCTGAAGGTGGTCTACGAGAGGGGTAGGAGAATGGCTGTGTGTGGTTCAGTCCCCACTGTCTCGGGTGAGGCACCTGAACTCCAGCCCCTTCTAAGAGTTTTCACACAAGGAATCTGAGTGCTTCTTTAAGCTATCCCTGACCTAGGTGCTGGGGATGGGGATATGTGCAGTGTTGGTAGAGGACATGTTTAGCATTAGGCACAATGCCTGGGTGAAATCTCCAACACCAAAAAATAAACTCCCCCCAAACCACAGATAGCTTCTTCAAAAGTAAAATGCTGCTGCCGGCCGCCTGCTGCTCAGGCCCTCCTGAATGAGAGGAAGCACCTTCCTGAGGTGCCCCTCTTCCTCTCCATGGAGCTTTTGGGCTTGACTGGGATGTCTGTGTGCTCTACACACGTGTAGGTGGCAGGTGTGTGGAGGTCTTAATGAGAGGCCTCCTCTACAGGATCACTCGTACCCTGCCCACCTCACAAGCTCCCGTGAATAACTTTACCTTTGAACTTGCCTTGCATTCAGCCCCTGATCCTTAGGATTTGGTGACAATCCTTGGCTGGCAGGAAGCTTTGATCCTTGGGGAGTCCAGAGGAAGTCCTGTGATGTGTGGGATTGGAGAGAAGTTGCACAAGGGTGGGTTGCTAAGGTGGACCCATTAATTAAGAAGGAGGCTTTGCCTAACACTCACATCCCTAAAAAAGCTGGGCGCCTGATAGCAGGAGCTCAGCCCCTGCAAGGATGCAGTGTGTTTGCACAAGCAGCTCTCGTATCTAAGGACATAGCACTGTTCAGGGAAATTCCTACCCACACCCCAGGAAAAGCACAGTGCCTCAGACTTCCCCTTTTAAAGAGGTAAAGCTGCTTTCTTTGAATGGTAGGTCGTTGTAGGAGAAAGAAATCTCTGAGGGCTCCAAATGTAGCTCAGATGGCGGAGCATTTGCCCAGCTCTGGGTCCGATCCCTGTACGGCTAAAAAGAGACAAGGGGGCACATGCCTGTACTCTCAACCTCTGGGAGAAAGCAGCAGAGGAGTTCAGAATCATCCTTGACTGCAGAGAGAGCTGGAGGCCAGGGACAGCAAGATGGCTCAGTGGGTAAAGGCGCTTGCTGCCAAGCCTGATGACCCAAGTTCAATCCCTACCTACATAGTATAGGGAGAGAAGTGACTCCCACCCTCACACATGTGTTAGTCAAGGCACATGTACAGTCACATACATTTATACGTACCAAATAAATAAATAGAACTTTGATAATAAATATTAATATAATTTTTAAACTATTTTTGCTTAGAAACGACTTTATTTCATATGAGACTTGCTCATGCACCCCAAAGCCATTCTTTGGTTCCCCAGTAAGTGTCACAGTGAAGCCCCCTTCAGCAGCAGGGTGCTGTTCCTCCTCTCCCACCCACTTGAAAAGGCAGATGACTTCCTTTGATCCCGATAATCAAGCTCACTGTTTACTGCGCAGAGACCTCTCTGTGCCATGTGTGTCTGCCTCCCCCATGGGATTTGGCTGCCAGAGGGATGGGTTCCTGGATTAGTCATGATTTTAGAACCGGTATACTGCCTGGGTACCGTGCAGATCCTTCATAACGATTATTGAATGAGTAACCGCGAAGCAGAACCTTGTTGCAGAGACAGGTTAGAAGAGTGTGGATAGTGCCTGGTTAGGACGGTCCCTGCCATGTTCCCGTGTGTCATATGCTTGAGAAAATCCAGGACATGCCTCACAGACCTGCTGAGCTTGGCTCACGGGGCTCATGGAGCAACACTTAGAAAGGAACAGATGTGGCAGGACTGACTCTTTAAAACCTGCATCCCCGTGCAAAGTCAAAATACAAGACCCCAGTTAAAGAAGGGATAAGGGTAGAGAGATGGCTCCGCAGGTGCATGCTTACTGTCCTTGCAAGGACCTGGGTTCAATTCCTAGCACCTACACAGCAGCTCACAACTGTCTATAACTCCAGTTCCAGATTGCACACGATACACAGACATCCATGCAAGCAAGCACACATCACATAAAATAAATACATCTTTAAAAGAACTGACATATTTATTTAGTGTATATGAGTGTTCTGTTTGCATGTATACCTGAATGACAGAAGAGGGCATCAAATCTCAATGTAGATGGTTGTGAGTGCCGGGAATTGAATTCGAGAACTCTGGAGGAAGCACAGCCAGCGCTCTTAACTGCTGAGCCATCTCTTCAGCCCCAAATAAATACGTATTTTAAAACATTTTACCATTAATAATAGTAAAATACAGTTTTCCCCTTTCCCTTCCAGAATCTCACTTGTCTTGTCCTGGTGTTTACTGATTGCCACTGAGGTTGCTCTAGGGAGAAGAAAACTGAAGTGTGAAATAATTGCATGCTCTTCATAGCTCATCTTTACCCTGTGCAGTGTCAATCTTAAATGCAAATAGAAGAGTGTTTACCTCGTGTGCAGAATCACCCAGATTACACACTGTGTAGCCCGCAGCTTGCACAGGCATGTGCCTCTCCACCATCGGGAAAGGGAGGGAACTGCACAGCCACTTCCCTTTTTGATTCCTGCCCCTGCTCTCAGCGCTGTGTCCCTCCTTCAGGCTGACCGGAAGGAGCAAGGATGATAGATGGTTATGCTTCCTTCTATGTCGTTGATTTTAGTGTAGATGTTTGGCTAAAACAAAAACATGAATGAGTAAGAAAGGATGTTAGGTAGGGTTCCCTGAAAACCGTTACATTCTTTGTGTGGTGGGAACAGCTTCTAGTTAGAATGGAAAGCTGGAACCCTCCAGGCTGCCAGCACCTTCCTGTGTTCGGTTGTAAGAGTGGCAGACCCCGTGACCTGCTTCTGGCTTCCAGGGTTGCTCATCTCCCTTCACCATAGTCTGCCAGGGGGTTGTCTTCCTGGGCCATAGTGACCGCAGGAAGAGATGCACCTATGAGATGCGGCATGCGTCCCCGCTGCTCATGTTCCTGCTCCATTGCCTCATTGGATGTCATTTACAAGATACAGAGCCAATACAAATTATTTCAGTAATAGGTCATTAAAGCAGGCAGCACAGGCCTTGGGGGACTGGACTGCCTGGTTGGCACTGTGTCGATAAATGTCCTTAGAATTAAGAAGCTGGTCAGGAGTGGCATGTGTGCCTCATTACCCATGAATGTGTTCCATCATCTGCCAGATGCCAATCATTTTATGAAGTACTGGGCCACACTAGAGGAAGAAGGCAAGACATGGCCTGGGCATTAGTAGTATTTGTGATCTAATAAGGAAAATATTTTTAATTATATAACACCAATCCCCAACATAAATAAAAAAAAACATCACAACAAATAAATGATAATTGTGATAGGGACTACAGACAGAATTCAAGGAGATTAGACTTAGCTTGGTGGGCATTCGAGAGAAAAGCTTTTGGATGTGGTATCTTGTAGGTGTGTGTGTAGCTTCCCAGCATAAAGGGATAGCATTGCAAAGGTGTGGGTCAGGGAAGGAGCTCTGCTTAGGAAGAAAAATCTAGAGCCAGAGCTCAGGCAGCCAGAGGGAGGCTGGGTGTGGGAAGGGCGAGCCGGGGCTTTTTAGGGTGACCCTGTTCCCTGCCTTGCCCCATTCTTCTCCAGTGCCCATGCTGACCAAGAACCTCACAAGGTGGAAGAATCCTAATTTACCATAGCAAGCCCAAGACACATGATACAGCACCTCAAACCCACAGAGATCTGCCAGCTTCTGTCTGCTCAGTGCTGGGATTAAAGACTTTTTTTGTACCATGCTGTCCAGCCCTAAAAAATTTTAAACTATTCCAGGCAGTGGTGGCACACACGTTTAATCCCAGCTCTCAGGAAGCAGAGGTAGGCGAATTTCTGTGAGTTTGAGGCTAGCCTGATCTACAGAGCAAGTTCCAGGACAGCCAGAGCTACACAGAGAAACCCTGTCTCGGAAAACCAAAAATAAAATAAAATAATTTTTTTAAAAAACTATATCCAAACATACCTGTAACCCTCAAAAGAATGAGGCACAGGGATCTCAAGTTTAAGGCCAGTCTGTCTCAGAAAAACAAAACCAGGAGATGGTTCAGTGGGCAAAAGCGCTTTCCACCAAGGGGACCGTGAGATGGTTGAGTGGGTAAAGGTGCTTGCTACCAAGGCTTCTGACTTCAGTTCTGCCCTCAGGATCCACATGGTTGAAGGAGAGAACTGACTTCCATGTGTGCTTGTGCATACACACATAGGGCCTGAGAAAAATGTGGGCAACCAGCTGTTCTAGAAGCATCTGTACCCAGGCAGTCTTACTGTCTTTGTCCTGAGGCCTCTGCGAGCCTTTGACTGGAGGATCCAGGTGCTATACTAGGGCCTGGAAATAATGAGGAGCAGCCTAAAGTCCAAGTGAAATGTCGCGGGTAAGAGACACAAAGGAACCTTCTGTGGGACAAGGGCCACAGCCAGCTCTCCCTTCTCCAGGTTGGAAGGTCCCTGCATTATCTTCACAAGGACGCCTGAGATTGCTTCCCAGCAGAGGTGCTTATGACCTGTCTCTCTATCCAGGTGCTGAGTGATGTCCTCAAGGATCTCTATCACCTGCTAAAGCATGTGGTGCGTCTGGAACCCGATGATGTGGCCAAGCTACATGCCCAACTTGCCCTGGAAGAGCTAGATGAGATCATGAGGAACTTCCTGTTCCCTCCCCAGAAGCTGGAGAAGAAGATCGTGGTCCTGCCATAGTCCTGGTTCCTAGGACCTGGAAGACTGGGAGGGACCAAGCAGCCAAAGCAGTGGCCATACACCTCCCAGCAGATGGCTCCACCTCCTTGGTGCTGGCAATATGGCAGGCTTTAAGGTAGCTCTGTGGTGCTGGGCACTTGGTGTTCAGGGCTACCTTTCTAGAGCGTCCATTTAGGCTCCTGCATCTGGCCCAGAGCGTGTGCAGTTAGAAGGGAAAGGATGAATCCCATCTAATCTGCACATTTTCATTGTCCTGTGCTATTTAGAGGAGATGCGCATGTGACTATGGACCATTTTCTTGCAGCTGGAGAGGCTGCCTGCACAGGTCCTATCTTGATATTCTTTCATGGTGAGATGATTCTGCCTATGATGAGGAGCAGGCAGAGCTGTCGCGTTTGGCTGTAAAAGAGTCATGTGGGTGTGCAGCTGTGGGAAGGGGAAGGAAACATTACTTAAACGTACGAAAAGGAATAAAATTACCTTGTTGGAATAATCAGCCAGGCTGACTCTGGTCGTTGAGCTGATTGACGCTCGCAGAAAGAAAGGAGTAAGCACTGTTTGTCCTCTAGGGCCATTTTCTTTTGCTCCCTCTGCTCCTTTTTTGTTTGGTTTGGTTTGTTTTTCAAGACAAGGTTTTCCTGTATAGCTCTGGCTGTCCTAGAACGCTCTGTAGACCAGGTTAGCCTTGAACTCAGAGATCCACCTGCCTCTGCCTCCTAAGTGCCTCCTAAGTGATTAAAGGCGTGCACCACCACTGCCTGGCTCCTCTGCCCATTTGCAGGGTGAAAACTGAGACAGTGGAATAGACTTTCTGAGAAAAGGCAGACAGAAAATGTGTTATATATGGGTGGCCTGCCACCAGCTCATTGAAACAATCTCAGATGTAACACTGTGGTTGCTGACTCATTTATTTATATATTTTGGTGTTTTCATTGCACAGGAAGAAAGGAAGAAAGAAAGAAAAGAGATTGAAGACTGAGGAGATACCTCAGTCCCTAAAGTATTTGCTATGCAGCATGAAGACCTCAGCTCAGTCCCCCAGCATCCAAGTGAAAAGGCTGCTTGTGGCAGCACATGCCTATAATCCAGCACTGGGAGGAGAGACAGGCACATCAATGAGGCTCACTGGCCAGCCAGCATAAAAAAAAAAAAAAAAAGAGCCAAGTACTCAAGAGTCAGGGAGGCAGGTGGATCTCTCTAAGTTCGAGGTCCACCTGGTCTACAAGTTCCAGGACAGCCAGGGGCACACAAAGAAACCCTGTCATGAAAAAAGCCAGGCAGTGCCTCTTGAGAAACAGCACCCAAGGTTGTCATCTGATCCACACACATACACAGTGTGCATGTACCCTCACCATCATGCACATACACACACGAAGAAGAAACTGGCTGGTTGCCTCAGATAAGCCCACTCTGTTGCCCACCTTGACACGTCTAATCGGGAGTTTCCTGGTTCTCAGCACCACAGGGCTAAGCATGGAACTTTGTCCGAGACTTTCTCCCTACTTTCTGCTCTAAATGAAGCAGAACCCAACTCTGACGGCATGCTGACACACACATGCTCCTGCCTGTCAACGACAAGCCAGGTTACAGCGGGGCCTCGGCTCAGCCTTCCTCATAGGCTTCCCCAGAAAGGGGTATCCCTAGAAAGGGGCTTCCCCCAGAAAGGGGCAGCTCACAGTTACAAACCACAGTCAGCCTAGCGAGCCAAGGGGCAGTGGTGGTGCACACCCTTGACCCCAGCACTCAGGAGCCAATTCCAGGCCAGCCAGGGCTACACAGTGAGGCTGTCTTAGGGGGAAATCAGAACAGAGGCCCATGAGTGCTTTGAGGGAATATTCCTGTTCAGCTAGAGCAATAGCATTAGTTGTATTTTTCAGATCGAGAATGTCCATAAATCAGGGTTGGTGTTTTTAAGACAAGGATTTTCTTAGATCACCTGGACAAACGTGAAAATCCTCTTCCTTCCTTCCTTCCTTCCTTCCTTCCTTCCTTCCTTTCTTCCTTTCTATTTTTCTGTTTGTTTGTTTTGTTCTGGTTTTTGTGTGTTTTTTTGTTTTTCGAGACAGGGTTTTTCTCTGTGTGGCCCTGGCTGTCCTAGAACTCCTTCTGTAGACCAGACTGGCCTCGATTAGCGTTTAGAGTACAAACAGCTTAGGGCTGGAGAGATGGCTCAGCAGTTAAGAGTGCATGCTGTGCTTGCAGAGGACCCAAGTCTGGTTCCCAGCACCCACATCAGGCAGCTCCACCTCTGGCCTCTGAGGGCACCAGCACTCATATGTACACATACACACAAATCATTTTTGAAATTATTTACATATACATATATGTATGTGTACACACACCCCACACGTATATAATTGAAAAGGAGAAAGCCTGCTCAGACCTACAGGTTGACTATGTCAGGAGGTCCATGTAACTGTCCATGGTAGCACTGACTTGAGGACCTTCTCCATCTGAATCCGTGTGCCCCTCAGAGCCTCTTAGCCCGTTTAGCTCCATGTATAAGATGACTTATATTTGAACTATTTATCAAAAGACTCAAAGTATTTGACTTTGTTGATTTTGGTATGCTTAATTTAAGAGTAATTTTTTCTTCCTGACTTCAAATTCAAAGAGAAGATAATTTAATGTAACCCTTCTAAACATTACCAAATTATTAAAAATTATCAAATAACTCTTCTAAGCCATGCATGGTAGTTAATTCTTATAACCACAGCACTCAGGAGGTTAAGGCAGGAGGTTTCAGTGAGTTCAAAGTCAGACAGTAGGACAGTTTGTTGCGCTCTCCCACCAAAGCACTGAGAGCATAGCTCATAGCAAAAGAGCCAAACTATCCTTAGGGAGCTTGTGCTGTAGTGAGTTCAAGGACAGCCAGAGCTTCATAAAGAGACCCTATGGTGGTCACCTTTAATGTGGCGCACGCCTTTATTCCCAGCACTTGGGAGGCAGAGGCAGGCAGATTTTTGGACACTCAAGGCCAACCTGGTCTACAGAGTGAGTGCAGGACAGCCAGGGCTGCACAGAGAAACCCTGTCTCAGAGAGCGAGAGAGAGAGAGAGAGAGAGAGAGAGAGAGAGAGAGAGAGAGAGAGAGAGGGAGAGGGAGAGTCTTGAATAAAAACAAAGAGAAACTGGGCTGGCAAGATAGCATAACATGTAAGGGTTTTGGCTGCCAAGTCTGACAGTGTGAGTTTGAATCCCAGGGAACCCATGATAGAGGAATTAATGTAATAAAATGTTTTGGTTTTTTTTTTTTTTTTGGTTTTTTTTTTTTTTTTTTTTGGTTTTTCGAGACAGGGTTTCTCTGTAGCTTTGGAGCCTGTCCTGGAACTAGCTCTGTAGACCAGGCTGGTCTCAAACTCAGAGATCCGCCTGCCTCTGCCTCCCGAGTGCTGGGATTAAAGGCGTGCGCCACCACCGCCCGGCTAAATTATTTGTGAAGTCAGAAGTGAGGACAGCGAGTGTCGGGTGAAAGCTCTCAGTACTACAGCCTGGTGAAGTGGGTAGCTCAGAAAACCACAGGGATGAACGGATGTCCCCAAAGACGTGGGAAGAAAACCTCCAGGAAGAGGAACAGAAAGTACAAAGCCCCCCCCCCCCCAAGAGCTGTGAGGCTGAGGAGGAGCTGGAATCCATGGTGGCATAGATGTAAGGGGGACGGAAAGGGAGCAGAGAGGTTCGCTGAACAAAGGGTGCAGCCACAGATGAATTTCCCTGAAGCCGCTTCCTTCAGCTTGTTTCTGGAAAGTGCTGCAAAGCTAACGTGGTATGTGTTGTAAAACTGGAAATAAATATAACCACACAGCCCTTTTTCTATTTTCTGCTCAATCACAAGAAAGCAGCAGGCTGATTCCTCTCTACTCCCCTCCCCCCAGTTTGGCTTCTGCTGCTCCTACAACAGAAAGGACAGCAAGTGTGTGCATCTGCCCGGGATCCACCCACAGGCCCTGGCCTGTCCCTTTATCTCAGAGGACACCTGAAGGAAGTGCCACAGCCATCTGCCTGTGACTCTCACCAGGGGTTGGAAGGGTGGCCATGGCATGGGAAAACTGATTAGTTTGTGGTAATAAGCCGGAGGATGGTCCATTCATCTGACCTGTTAAGACCAGAGAAAGCCTTCTGTAGTTTCCCACAGCCCGGTTTCTATGACAGCGGAGTGCTGAATGGATGTTGAGAGCTGGCCACCTTTCCATGACTGTGTGGCCGCCTTCCCCGAGCCCCAGCAGTGCTGATGACCTCGAGGGCCTGGCTGTGTCCTGCTGCAGGCTCGCTTGTGCTGCAGTCACACGCACAGCCTCACTGCGGTGTGCTGCACTTCTGACTGCGCGGAGCTCAGTGTCCGCTTGGCGTGGGGGCTGGGAATAAGTCTGGCTGCTGTCTGTGCCGCAGCCTCTTCCCTGCTGGCCAGCGCTAGCTCTGCTGCAGCACACACTGGCAGGGAAGCCATACCCTCTCATCCGCCTGGGAGGGCCTCTGCCCACTTAGCATTTGAGGGTGATCCCATGTCCCTCCCACAGCTCCTCCTAGTCACTCAAAGTGCTCCCCAAAGCTCCCTTTCTATCCCTCCCCCAGGTGACCCTCTGGGATCTTCAAAGATCAGTTGCTTTGTTTCTTTCTGTTTGGACAGCTAGATTGGAAAATACGGAGAGAAGCTATTGTCTTGCCCTCTGGGGGGAATTTAGCTCCAGTCCTTTTGAGTTCCGGCCAAGGTGCTGCTCACCTTTGAAGACCCTCCATGAGATACCGTGTTCACTGATGAATACTGCTGGAGTTGTTTCTCCAAACTGGGCGTTGAAGCAAAAGTCTTTCACACTGGGAATATAGCTCAGTGGTAGAGGGCTGGCCTGGCATGCATGAGGCCTGGGTTCAATCCCCAATATACACTTGCGCACAGGGACAGAGACAGAGACCAAGTTCATGATTTCATGAATTTGAATTGCAAACGTGAGTGCTGTACACCCTAGGGCCCTATGGTGTTCTAAATGAGGATGGCCCTCATAGGTTCTATGCTTGAATACTTGATCTCCAGATGGAACTGTTTAGGAAGGATTAATAGGTGTGGACTTGTTGGAGGAGGTGTGTTACTTGGGGCGGGCTTTGAGGTTTCAAAAGCCACCTACATGGGACTGGAGAGACAGCTAGAGGTTATGAGCACTGGCTGCTCTTCTAGAGAACCTGGGTTTGATTCCCAGCACCTATAACCATCTGTAACTCCAGTTCTAGAGGATCTGACACCCTCTTCTGGACTCCCCAGGTACCAGATATACATGTGCACATACATACATGCATGCAAAACATACACATAAAATCAAAAAAAACAAAACAGAACAGCTTCCTGCCTTCTCCGGTATGCTCACTCCACCTCCTGCTTGTGGTTCAAGATGCAAGCCCTCAGCTATCCCTGCCTTCACTCTGCCATCCTGGACTCTCACTTCTGGAACCATAAACCCAAGGAAACAGTTTCTTTTATAAATTGCCTTGGTCATGAAGGTTTGGGGGGATATATTTATTTAGTTGGTTTGTTTTGTTTTTCAAGACAGGGTTTCTCTGTGTAGCCCTAGCTGTCCTGGAACTCACTCTGTAGATCAGGCTGGCTTCGAACTTACAAAGATCTGCCTGCCTCTGTCTCCTGAGTGCTGGAATTAAAGGTGTGTGCCATCACTGCCCGGCAATGCTTTTTTGTTTTCTTCTGTTTTGTTTATAGCAATAGGAAAGAAACTAAGACAGCCCCCAGCATGAAAGGTCCGTGGCTGTGTGGCTGTGCCATCACTTGAGTCCCCACTAAACTACAGAGGGCACCCCCCTGTGTTTACCTCTGAGAAAGGGAATCTCCACCTGGAGATGTCCTAACTGCCTCTGTCTGTGTGCGTGTTCACATGGCATTGGTGTATGAATTATAATTTAATAGAGCCAGGCATGGTGGCACATGCCTTTAATCCCAGCTCTCCTCTGAGGCAGATGGATCACTCTGAATTTGAGATCAACCTGGTCTACATATTGCACCCACTCCAGGTCAGTCAAGGCCACATAGTAAGCCTTGTCTCAAAATAAATAAATTTAATGTATATATAACAGAAATTTCCACAATCTTACCTCTACTCTTACTCCAGCCACCGCTGGCAAACTGCTATATGATCCCTTTAGCTCTTCTTCACATGTGTACGTGTGCATGTGTGCAGGCGCACATGTGTGCCTGTGGGCGTGAAGACCAGAGGCTGGTATCAAGTGCCTTCCTTGACGGTCCACCTTATAGACTGAAGCAGGGTCTCTCTTGAACCCAGCACTCACCTGACTAGACTGGTCTAGTGAGCCAGTCTTCTCCAGGATTCATCTCTTCCTTACAAGTCGGCTACACACCCACGTGACGTCCATGTGAGTACTGAGAAGCCAAGGGCTGGCCTTAGAGCCATAAAGGGAGACACCCAACAACAGCCTCTGCACCCCCATACACATGTACACACATGGGTACACACATAAATATGTTTTAACCACTCTGCACACACAAACACAACGGTCCCTATCACACACGCTCCCCAGTGTCAGGTTCAGCCTGTAACCCCAATGAGAGTGGCAGCCATGGCTCTTCGTCACCTTATGGAGCGATCACGATGACCATTGATACACTATAGCGGTTTATGGAGTGATCACAATGACCATTGATACACTGTATACACTATAGTGGTTCAAGTCTGTTCTGTGCAGATAACACACACCAACACACTTAGTCACTCACACTGGGCCTGTGGGGTAGGCAGTGCCCATTACTTGGTTTAGTTTGTTTGAGGCAGAGTCTCTTTAGTTCAGGATGACCTTGAACTCACTCTGTAGGTGAAGCTGGCCTTTAACTGCTGGTGCTCCTGCCTCTGCCTTCTACATGCTGAATTGTCGGTATGTATCGTTATTCCTGCTGAAATAGGTATAATTACTTCTGCTGTACAGATGAGAAAATGGAGGTATACAAGAGGTTAATTGCTTGTTTGGATTCCACAGTAGTGAGAAGTAGGCAAACCAGTATTTGGACCAAGCAGTCTGGCTTCAAACGCTGCACTTTAACTACCAGGTTTTGCAGCTGTCCCACTCTGTTCTCGGTGTCAATGAGATTTAAAAAAAAAAAAAAATTTCCCTGCTTATTGAAGTGGATTCACCCACAGTTCCCTTTAAACAGTGCCATCTTAGTTTGTGTGGAGGGATGAGGGGGGCATGGCGCAGGGGCAGTCAGATCTCTGTGATCTGTGAGTTCAAGCCCTACCTGGTCTAAATAGCAAGTTCCAGGCCAACCAGGGGGCGTACTGAGACCCAGCCTCAAAACTTAAACTAAGTAACAGTACTGCCTTACCTATAAACCCAGCCTTAGACATCAGAACCTGCTAGTGCTGTTCATCTCTGCATTTTGACCTTGTAGTGGCCGTGAGAGAATGGGCTCGTTAAAGTTCTCAGCCCCTTTCCCCCAATTTTTTTGTTTGTTTGTTTTGGTTTTGGTTTTTGGAGTTAGGGTTTCTCTGTGTAGCCCTGGGTGTCCTGTAATTCATTCTATAGACCAGGCTGGCCTCGAACTCAGAGATCTACTGGCCTGTGCCTCCCAAGTGCTGGGATTAAAGGCGTGGTGCACCACCACCTGGCACGCTGGTGGCTTTTGTTTACTTTTTATGGGGTGCTTAGGCAGTAGAGTTCTAAGATAGCCTCTGAAGAGCAAGCCACAAATATACGAGCAAGGAAGGTGTAACGTGCTAGATCTGGTGGTGTGAGCTGTAAGCCCAGCAGGAGACCTACAGAGAGGTGGGTGGATCTCTGTGATTTCAAGGCCAGCCTGGGATAGGTAGGGAGACCCTGTCTCAACAAAGGAACAAATTTGTGGTTCCTTTGTGAAGGTGGTTGTTTAGCCCCTTCATCTCTTGTGAGGGAGCCTTGGTTCTCAGGCTTAATTCTCAAAATGATGCTTGACTTGTATGGTGGGGCGGGGAGGGAAGAGAAGTGGGA